ATGTGCTTTTTTTTTTTTTCACGTTTCTTTCTTACTAATAATAACAAGGAACTCAAAACTGTTAGCATTATTATCTGCATATTGGCATCAAATAAGCTCATGCTTTGGAAGGGACAAAAGGTTATGAAAAATACACTCAATAATTGCGGAAAGTAAGTAGGAAGGAATTTTTTTTAGAAAGAATTGTGTTTTGTTTGTTCACTTTGTTGTTTTTGAAAAAATGGAATTTTAAAACCTTTAGGCAGGGCATTCATTAACTGGTTCTTCACAGGTCCTACCGCAGAGCCCCACCAATGTATGTTAGTTTCCTGACCCTGCAGGGTTTTCCCACTCCTGACTGAAACTATTGCTCTTTTTCTATCCTCCACTAACCAACTCAGCATGGATTAACCATGCTGACCATTCTCTTTGTAAAACACACAGACTGGCACTCAAGGCACTCTGAATGCTTACAGCTGAGGGTATTCACTTTTTTCTGTTTCCAAAGTTGAGTGGGACGTTACACCAGGAGTCAGCCTTTATTGTTCCCCCGAGTATTTATGACGATCTTATTTTTCCTCCAATTACACACTTTAGATACAATTTATATAAGCTGATGACACATGAGTACAAAAAAGATAAAAGAATTGCTGTTTCTAAACAAGCTCATTTGAGTCCCTTGGAAACATCCAATAACTGGTGAATTGCTAAATTTAAACTGGATGTGGGTGAGGCAAATATAAAAGACTGGACAAATATTATAAAGATCTAAAAGCATTATTTTCAGATAGCTTCGTAAATGTCTTAAAATTCTAGTTCCCTTGTAAAAAAACCACAACTAGAAGTCACAGAGGATTCGGTGTGGGCCAGAAAGCCCATGTGGATTACCATCAGTAGACTCCCACTTGGAAAAGAGAGATTGCCAATTGATGTGCACCTGGGTATTTTAAAATAGGATAAATTAATATGATACTAATATATTATTCTTCATGATTGCCAGCCTTAAATAGTTTTTTGATCAACTCACTATCTATAGGTCTCTTATGTGAATGATATGAAAGCTTTTTTATATATTAGACACTAAAACATCACTTCTAAAAAAAATCAATAAAATTGCATTTATATGTAAGTATAAGTAAGTAAGTATGCCTTTATGTGTAAGGCATGTTGTCTTATAACATATTTATTTTTATCATATATATATAGATATAAGAATAATAATTTTCATGATGTTTTTAGTACTTACCTAGAACATTCCATCCTTAATGTATTGAATCTGGCTCACATTCGATTTTGATTTTAGTACAGGTGGATACTGGAATGAAACAGACTTTCTAGGTGAGAATTACAGGTTCTAAATTATATGTCCCAGAGGAAAGAGTACTGTATACGGATAAAAACTCCTTGTCACCTTCAAGGTTTTTCTCTCTTAAGTGGAGCTCTCAGGCCTTTGATTCCACATGTTTTGATATATTCCAATGTTATAGCATAGGCTTGACCAACACAAAAACTTATACAATGGTAGAAGAATTCTTTGGTAATTTTTAACATGACATTTTCAAGGTCTATAAAACAGATTCTTGCAGAGTTGACTATGACCTCTAATACTCACATCCTAGTCCTTGAATCTAACTTTAGAAATCCAAGTGTATTAAAAGCTGTCACCACAAATGGCAAAAAGCTCATAAAACTTGGTTTACTTCCCAAAGTAAGTTTATCCTCTAAAGTTGTGTTATTTTGGAACTGTGGATTATGTAAACTTCTGCTTAAACAATCAAACAGCTTACGATCTTCACTGATTTACTGAAATCCATCCAAGAATCCAGGACATCTTTTGGTTAAGTTAAACAGAAAGCAACAGCTGCTTCTTGAGCCGGGGGGGGGGGGGGGGGCCCCCTCCTTAAAAAGAGGAGTAAGGGAGGGGGAGAAGAAAAGGAAAAAAAAAGTAACCAAATGATGGAAACAGAAATGTGTTTGCTTTTACCTTAGAGGGTGCTGTCAGCCAGTCAGGTACTCTAACATCTATGGTTTTAATTGCAAATCTTTTGGTTAAGATTCAAAGCCTAAATCTTGAAATTAAGAAGGGTGAGGTACACTATCTTTCCTTTATCTTTCTACTGTTTGGTATTCAAATACAATTTGCCATAATGAAAATCCGCCATGTCCTGTGTTATCTTGGTTGTCCCATTTAGAATCTGTTTCAAATACTTAAAATGGTTAGCAAGACAAAAGGTTAGAATTACATATTCTATAAGACATTAATGAACCATAATCCAAGGTAAGTGCAATGTACTGCTGGAATTGGCAGTTTTGACTCAATGTCTACTGGTTTGTTGTAGGGGCTTTGTTCCTACACATTTTCATGTCTCCACACCAGCCAATAAAAATTTTGGAAATCCATTCCCTCCTTTTTAGACTGATTTTGTGCTTTTGCTCAGTGAAGAACTGTTGAAGAGAGAACTTGAGGAGAATTCCTTATGTTACAGTTTCATGTCACCCTGAATTGTAATTAGTAAGATAAAGTTCAGAGGCACACGAATATTTGCTAAGTCTTAAGAGACTTCTGAAGTTGTTCATTTTCTCTATGATTAAAACAAATGAGGCACTGGTATTAAGAAGCACCCTGGGTCCTTAGGGTTGGCTTGTTTTATTTGTTTCCACTTGAAAGAAAAGTGTTTCAACTGCCAAGTGTCCTTTACTAATTGTCTTCTTTGTCGCCATTCCGTTGGAAAAATATCTCTATCAATAAAAAAGGATAAACTATTAGAAGTTATAATATTGGCTTTTGGCTATTGGCTTTTCTTGATTATCATTACTCGGTATTTTGACTTCTATATAGAATAATAACAAGTATAAAATCTCAGCATATGAAAAGGCCATTTAAAAAGGAAATACAATGTTCAGTAAAATAATACCTTATGATACCAGTCTTGTGTGTTTCCACCGCCTTAGAGGTTTTATCTGTGAATCTTAAACTGTAAAATTCTAAGTCTGGAAATTTCCCTCTCCACATGCTGTTTTGGGGTTGTTTACTTAGTTCAATTGATACAATGTTCTTACCTAAGAAATATACTTTTATGAGTTTTGGGAGGCACTTGGCTCAGTCAGTTAAGTGTTCAGCTCTTGATTTCAGCTCAGGTCATTGATCTCAGGGTCCTGGGATCAAGCCCTGACTCAGGCTCTGTGATGAGTGTGGAGCCTGCTTAAGATTCTCTCCTTCCTTCTCTCTCTACCTATCCCCATGCTCAAGCACAGGAGCTCTGTCTCTCTCTCTGAAAAAAAAAAAAAAAAAAGAACGATGTATACTTTTATGAGTTTCATTCATAATGTAAAATTTTTGTATGTTACTTTTAAAATATTTTAGTATTAAAATGATATCTTCCTTTATTTCAAACTTGAAATTTTGTCTGTATCATGTTTGAATATAAAAAAACTGTAGAAAATCACGGCCTATGAGTTCAATTGGCTTGACATCTAATCCTAGATCAGCCATTACTTAGCCAAATCACTTGTCCTCTTCTAGCTTCTGGTTTTTTCTCTTGTAAGATGATGGTGCCAAAACACTCAGAGTATTCTCCGAGGTCTCAATCCCATGATTCTCTGACACTCCAGGACTCCATGTGTCATTTCAGATCTTTTGTGATATTATCACTTTTTTAAAAGTAGCTTTAAAGATAATGAAGGCATTGAAGACATTTTTAAAAACTTTTCTACAAATTTATGTTAATGAATTAATTAAATACATTTTTAAAATGTATTTTCAGAAATTACAGCATAAGCACTTACTGCAAGTTAGTTTGTCAGGTAACACCTCATTTGCCTGCCTTTTCAATGCATTTGCAGAACTGTGTAATATTTCCAGAGTGCCATATAAAGAAACTGGGCACTTTTGTAATACTCCATAATTAAAAGATAGCTATACTAGTTGGTGGTCCAATTCCTACAACAGTCCTGAAAGGCATTTGCTTTCATCTACTAACTGGCTACCATGGTGGTAACAGATGACTTTTAAACAGCTGTCACAAGCTGAAAACAAAACAAAATAAAAAAGCCACCCTCCCACACTATGTACAGACAGCTTGCCAATAGCTGAAACAAATTCTAAGATCATTTTAACAAACAACCTCCCCTCCCCTTTTTTTTTTTTTTTTGGTTATTGTTACAATTAAATAGAAACTCATAAAACTCAGACAAGCTGGTTTCATGTTTCTTGCAGACCTGAACTGCCTACTATTTCTAATGGGATCACAGCAATTAGTGGTTTCCAGATGCATTTAAAATGTGCTAAGTGCCTGCAGGAATTGGCTTTTAACACACACAAGTCTTCAAATGCTTCAATCTCAAGAATCTACTATAAGCCCCACGAGGTACTATGAAGTCTATATAACGTTTGGACAAAGTTGGGTGCTTACACTGCAATTAATAGAAAAAAAATGGGAAATTTAAAAAATTCTGTGTCTTACATACAGTTTTCTTTTTACTTCCTTCTTCTCTTTTAATGGTCACATCACCAATTCCCTTATTATCCAAAAATCATAGAAATAATTAACAACTTTCATTGGAGAAAAATCTGGAATGAATGGTGTTCTGAGAAGAAAGTTCTTGGTGTCCTTGGGTCATTAGGACTCCTGAAAAACTCATTCCTGGACTGTGGCTAATTGAACTACAAACATGTCAGTCTGACAACGTTAACAGTTTATGACTCGTCCGTTGAAATGTCCAACTTTCTTTTACTTGTTCCTGGACAATTTCTCCCTGTCATGAGACTCTTCTACAACCGAAAGACTGAGTCTTTATGTTTATACCTAGTGTTTTATCTTTGGTTGAAACTAGGCAGAAGGCGACTTTGTGGTCTGTTTTCTCATAACTGGCAGTGCTGAAAACAAGACATGAGAATAAAAACATGGCTTTTGATGAAAAATGTATTTAACAGGTGGTTTTCTTCTCTAGTCACTGACATGGTTACCTTCCCTTGAGACCCATCCGAGCCTCACGTCCTTCATATTTTTTTTTTCTTTTAGATTCCATGTGGACGACGCATAAACAAAAATGAGAAACACGAAGAGAAACTGGTAATGTTCACCAATCATCCGGAGGATTCTGAAAGGTAATATGACATTTGATTTAGAGGATATATGCCTATAATAATAATGTTCTAACTGAGCACTTCTGCTGTCAGACACAGATGATGAGTCCACTAAAAGTGGATGAGAACCTAACTGGATCAAACCATATAGGGTAGATAAGAAAAAGACGGGGGATAACAATGTGGATTACTTGAATGTATTTTCTTTCATTGCTCTCTCGGGGGCAAGAATCTATGGTAGGTCTTGGAGGTTTTTGTTTATTTTTTTAAGTATTTGGTAAATTTACCTTGGCAAGTTTGGACCTTGAGATAATTTCTATTGAATAGCAGAAATTAGCTCCTAGAAAAAAACTCTAGTTTATTAATAACATGAAGTGATCGTGATATCTTCTCTCCTGAGTTATTAAATCCTTAGCTGAGGGATAGTGTGAGAAATTTAACTACATCAAAAAATCCCATCCTCAGTCACTTTCCATATTCTCTCAACCCTTTATAGATTTTCTCAAGCTTTCTATTCATTGACCCACATAGCTTTTTCTTTGACTTTTTATATAGCACCTTTTAGGTGCAAGATATTTTCTTTGCTACTTGCAGAAGATGAGTCAGATACAGACACTATCCTCTAGCTTGCTTTCTGTTCAGAAGTGAAAAACCAGACACATACCTCAGTATATTATACCTTCAGCATTTGCCTCATAAGTAAGGCCTATATACCCTTCTCTGAGAAATTAGAGGAAGATTAGAATCCTAGTTGTGGCCATAAAAAGATGCCAGAAGAAGGAGTTGTTTGGCCTGACTTCTAGCAAAAGAAGATGGGAGAAAAGATGAAAAAGAGAAGGAAGAAGTATTTCAGGCTCAAGGCAGAATGTGTACAAAAATGTCCTCACAGGAAAATGAGGACTTGTGTGGGGACCAGTAAGCAGTTCATTCTGGCTTCCACATCTGGCATGTAATACAAAACACATCTTGAGTGAGAGACTAAATAGCCAGCAACTTATTCTGTAGAGCAGTGTTTCTCTGTCTATAAAGACAAAACTTCTTTAAAGTTAAAGTTAAAGAAATAATAAAACTCAGGTTCATAAGCCAGTGTTTCTCAAATTAGTGTTCTCATAACCTGTAGGTCTGGAGACACATGTTCAGGGTTCTTGGTCTGTGAAAAGCTACTCAAGAAAAGAGGTCCATATGTACTTCCAGTATGGGAATCATGACCCCATATGAGGGGAGGGAATTTTGAACAGGGTATTGACGATAGGGTAATCTGGCAACAGTGCTTACAATTGGCAAGGAGGAAGATTAGAAGCTTGAATAAATATAGAAATGTCAATTCCTCCCATTCCTCTCAACCAGTGTCTATAACAAGCATGTTAGTCTTTAACTGTATAAGTTTAGCATCTTAATTTGTACTACTCTTTGTTATTCTATAACTGTGCTGTGTGTACTTCTCTCCCTGATAAGATTTAATCTATCTCAAGATAAAAAACTCAACATACAGCAGTATAACCCACTTTAACAGTAGGTCCACAATAAGCACTGATCTATTTCATATAGAATTTTATCATATGTAAGTAAAATACAAAATGTACATCACAGAAGTACTCTGGGGATTAACCAATTATACTGACAACTCTAAGATACTATAGATATTACAGAAGCATAGAATACAACTTACAATATTGAGTGATTTCTAGGAAAGCTGATACCTTACTCTCCTTTGATAGAAGAGGTCCATGTTTGCCATATTTTACCAATTTAAAAGAGAAAGAAGAAAAGTGAGGAAAAGAAAGAAAGAAGGAGGGAAAAGAGACGGAAATAAGGCAGTCAAATCCATTGTTTCTGTGTTTTGAAGATAGGTATATCCTTAGCATTTTCTGTATATCCACTCTGAAGAGGTAGGGATTAACCTCCTCCCCTCCCCCCACACCATTGTCTTCATGTGGAGAATTGTAAGGACTCCATGGGTTCCTGGGTCTTACTCTGTTGCCTCCTCCTGCAATGCACAGGCATGTTGAGATTCTCTCCATTTACTAATGATGAAAATTACGCAGAATTTAGTAGTTAACGTATTTTTTTATACAGTAGTAAAAAAAATGTATATTTCTGAGAGAAAGGGGGGGTAGGACTTTAACAGTAATTTGGAATGTTCAAGAGATAGTTTTCAGGTTAACCTTTCAAGGTGTATATGACTCAGGGTCCAGAAGAAGTGTGAATGGATGAGGCAGATACTGCAGGCTGTGTCTCTGTCTCAGGCGAGGTGAGAAGGAAAGAAGGAAAAAGGGAGATGAGAAGCAATGGGGCAGCAACAGCAGTGTGAGTGCTGAGTCATCGTTCCCTCCTGCTTTCCTAACTGGTCTCCTTTCTAATTGAACCATTTTAGGTTCTCCAGGGGTAAAATTTGCCATCTCTTCAAGTACTACGTGGTGATACTATGGATGTCATACCAAGCTTCTTTGCAAAGTAGAAGTAAAGAGTAGAGGTTTTTATGGATCCCAGGGAAGGATTATCAAAGTAAATACAGTATTTTATAGTTTTTTTTATCTCCCTTTAATAGGATCTCAAAGCATCTTTGTTTTGGAGTACTCTTATAATACTAGCTCCTCATCTTAATTTTTCTAAGGTAAATGTTTGTCTGTCTTAAAGTTTATTTTAAGAAATGTGAGTATTTTTAAAATGAATTATGTGTTCAGAAAATTATAACTTAGCAAGGAAAACTACTATGATTCATTATAGCCTCATGTAGAGGTAATCTCAGAAGGATAAAATGAATGTTAAATTCTCATGAATTGCCTCTTTTACCTGGCATTAAACTTATTCATGATGGCACTCTTTCAGCCTATTATTAAACACGATTGAATACAATCTCAGTCATTCATTGCCTTCCCAGCACGATGTACTGGTTTTAGATGCACTTAAGGAGCTTCTGTGTCTTTCCCCATATTCAGAGAACTCAAATGCCATTATGCAAAACATTGGCGTACTTTAAGAAAATACAGCAAAGAGATTCAGTTACTACTAAATTTGTGGTTCGGGGTGAAATGTAACTAGCCAGTCTGTTAGCTTTTCGATTAAAAAAGACAAATAACCCCCCCCCCAAAAAAAATAAATAAGTAAATAAAAATAAAACAATAGTTGCTGGGGTTTTGGTTGTTTTTTTGTTTTTTTGTGTTTTTTTTTTGTTTGTTTGTTTTGTTTTGTTTTTTTACCATATGAATAGTATACTCCCCTCCAGCTGCAGTATTTGGCAGCCAAACAGCTGCTGGCTATTAAATGTCCCTTAAAACTCCATTTTTTGCTCATAAAGGGAAGAGAAGTGCGGGGACGTTTATGGGGTGACAGGCAGATGTTTTTGTTAGAGCAAGACTATGTATTTGGTAAGGGAAAACTAAAGTGATCTCTTTCATGATATCATCAGCATTTTTACAATTCTTTTGGCTTCTTTGTTTTTAACTTCCTTCTTACCTGACCCTAAATTAAACTATTTTGGAAAGGCAGAACAAAAGACAGCTTGCACAGTTGCTGTCCACATTGAAGAGAGGTTAGTGGTACCATCTACTTTCTCAGAAAGACATAAATTATTTTCTGTCCCCTCAGATTGTTTCATCAGGTAGAAGAGAAATGATTTTGAAGTGTTGAGTATTTTTAGTGACTCACAGAACATCACAGGTCATCATAATTTTTTTTCTCATAAATTTTGCTAATTCTTAGTCATGCTTTAAGTAGTTTCAATATTAAAGTTCATGAAACAAATTTGTCAGTTTTTCATAAATTATAGATATTCAAACTAGTAAACATCAAAGTCATATTGGATTTCTGGACAGTATCTCAATTATGTGTTTATGTGTAACATTAAATAAAACTAATTTTTTATTAGATGTATAAATTCACAGAGATTTAAGACAAGGGGCTTTTGGAAAACTTGTGTTTTCAGCCAGACTCTATAAAGCACATTAGGAAAAGCTTCTTCCATGTAAACAACCCCCACGGGATGAAAACAGACTTTTCATTTTCTGAGGCCTACTTTACACAGAATGCCTAAACAGATATCCATAGTATGTCTTTTGTTCTATCTGTTTTTGACACTTTATGCCTGCATAAACTCTTTGATTCAATGCAACAAGCACTTGAGAAATTCCTACTATGTGCTAAGAAGTGCTGGGGAGATGCTGGTGGAAAGAACACCAAATTAGAATTCCCCAAAGAATCTACTGAGTGAAATAAGTCAAGCAGAGAGTCAATTATCATATGGCTTCACTTATTTGTGGAGCATAAGAAATAACACGGAGGGCATTGGGAGATGAACAGGAGAAGGGAGTTGGGGGAAATCGGAGGGGGAGACAAACCATGAGAGACTGTGGACTCTGAGAAACAAACTGAGGGTTTTGGAGTGGAGGGGGTGGAGGGTTAGGTGAGCCTGGTGGTGGGTATTAAGGAGGGCACGTATTGCATGGAGCACTGGGTGTGGTGCATAAACAATGAATTTTGGAACACTGAAAAAAAAATTAAATTAGATTTAAAAAAAAAGAATCTACTTATCAGTTATCTGGGAAGGACAGCTTCTGCCTCTCAGCATGAAATTTGTGTATTCAGATACTGTCTCTGCCAGCTTTTACCTCAACAGAAATGTCTTTGATATTAACTATGGAGGGACAGAGCTTGCTGGGCAGGTCACAAATAACATGCAGTTAGCTGAATAAGCTGTATATTAGTCTTCTTTTTCTGCGTGTGCTAACTCTTAGAGTGCCTTTTTTGCTAAACGCTTCAGAATTTAAGCTCAAGGCATCTCCTCCAATGTGCTAATTAAATCCACAGATCCTTCTAAGGCAGTACAGTCAGTTTCCATGGATCAAACTTGACACAGTTTGAGCTGAATAACATGATGGAAGATACTGCATTAGCAAAACTCTGGTTTTCAGGGCAATTTGGAAATAACAAATTCATGACTCTCTTTGTGCTGTTTGGACAGGAAGTCACGTAAATATACTATGTGATGAAATAATGAAAAAAATAAAGGAACTCGAATTTGG